TTACAGTCGTAGTTGTTGGAGTTTCAGTTGGTGTCTGTTTTATTTTCCCTTTGCTTGATGTAATGATCCTGATGAATCTTTTAATATAAATAGAGGCATGTTTTGATGATAAAAAAAACAATAATTTCCTTGTAACACATCTTCTGATATGTAAACCTTAAATAAAAGGATGAATTTCTTTTACTTTCATTTTATTTCCCCCTCTCAACTAACCTTTAAAGTCTTAGAACATCTCCAATGCTACAATGTGCACGGTGCACATGTGGCATGTGAGATTGTAACATTTGAGATTTAATATAAATGGATTAATAGTACTACTCATACCAACAAGGTGCGTCTCCTTTTAAGGGAGCTCATTAGTCAAGAACTCCAAAGTTAAACGTGCTTGCACGGGAGTAGTCTTGGGATGGGTGACCCCCTGGGAAGTTTCTCAGGGCGCACGAGTGAGGACAAAGTGCGTGTAAAAGGCTAGTTGCGGTTTGTGAGGACAGTACTATTGGTCCGGAGTAACTACCTCGGGTCCCACAGGGCCGGGGTGCTACAGGTGGTATCAGAGCAACCCTGCGACAGTGTGTTGATCCGTTGGATATCGGGAGGGCACTTAGCAGGGGAAAAGATTCTGGGGTGTGATTGAGATTGGTTTAAGGGCGCAACGAGGACGTTGCGATTTTAAGTGGGGGTGATTGTAACACTTGAGATTTAATATAAACGGATTAATAGTACTACTCATACCAACAAGGTGCATCTCCTTTTAAGGGAGCTCATTAGCCAAGAACTCCAAAGTTAAACGTGCTTGCACGGGAGTAGTCTTGGGATGAGTGACCCCCTGAGAAGTTTCTCAGGGCGCGCACGAGTGAGGACAAAGTGCGCGTAAAAGGCTAGTGGCGGTTTGTGAGGACAGTACTATTGGTCCGGAGTAACTACCTCGGGTCCCACGGGGCCGGGGTGTTACAGAGATAGTCACACAAATATTAGTAAACAAATTATCTCTCTTCTTATTGGAATTATTTAATATAATTTTGGTAAGTTTTTCTCTGCAATGTCAAGGAGACCGTCTAGATGTAGACATTGTGATTGACATTGATAAAAAAACTTACCAACACTATATATTTATATAAAATCATTCAAATAATGAGAGAGATAATTTATTTAATTATATTTATATGACTATATCTCATGCCACATGTGCATCGTGCACATCGTAGCATTGGAGATGCTTTAACTTCCCATTTCCCCAAACTCCCTTAAACACACCCTTAGGCCACATTTGTATTTAAGGGAAAGCCAAGGAGGTTAAGGGATGAAAAAGGAAGGAAGAGTGATGATAAACATTTTGTGTTTGGTTGGAGGAAAATAGAGGAAAGTTTAAAATTTTAATTCTTAATTAGCTTATTTTATCTGTTTACAAAGACAATTCGTTTAAAAAATGCAATTCGTATAAATGTATAGTCATCATATTATTTAGTCATTATAAATAATTCACTTTCAATTAATATAAATAAACCTTTAATTTGGATATGCAAAAATTATTTGCCAAGATCATATGTGCATAGCTCGAATGAATAACTAGCAAAGCATTTTACAAGTAGACAAGATTTTAATATGGATTAGTACGGGACAGAAGGTGTTAATTGCCGAGAATTTCTTAACACCTTCAAATGTTAGTTTTTCATTCCAATTCTGGATGCGATAATACCCAAACATGACTTATTATGGCATGACTATAAATAAAAGTCAAAGACAAAACAGTGTCATAGTTGGTCATAATCAACTATGTTTGTGACTATAATGTTAGTTTGTTGTTGAAAAACATGTTTGTGGTCATAATCAACTTTACATGATTGTGTCAAAGTAACCAATTGTTAAACGTTAAAAATCACATTACAAGCGATCACACAGGAACAAGCATTGAAACCCAGAATGTTGGTTGTAAAGAAGAGCTTCATAACGTTTAACATGAGATCTAATTCTTCTTCTTCATTACCCCAGTGCTGCAAAGGCTCCCACCTATAGTGGGGTAAGGGGGGTCGGATGTACGCAGTCTTACCTCTATACTAAAGCACAGAGAGACTGTTTCCGGATGACCCGTAGTGAAATTCGCGCCGGAAAATGCATGGACTGACTACTGTTTCGTAACAAAGAAACGCAAACAGTTTAGTGAGTCATTTTGCTTTATTCCATCTTATTACCAAGCCAAATAAATAGTGAGTCTTTGGCTCTATTGCGAATGAGATCTAATGTGTTGAAAAAATTATTGTACTATGGTAGCTGTTATATTTACTTGTGTTTAACATAAGTATTTGTTGAAGAAAAGAAGGGAAATCGGACACATACCTTCAGAATGAGAGCTAAAACATAAAATGTTGTGATGAACGACTTTTGGGACCAAGAGGATGACATTCTGAACATAATTTGAGTATAACTTATTGTAGAGAACTCGAAATCACTCGATTCAAATTTCATGTGAATGCTAACTCAATAAGGTACAAATGTTATGAAGACGTCATGACCAAAATGTGAAAGGAACAAGACTCAATCAACCAATAAAGTCAGATGTTGCTGGTGGGATTTCAGGATGCATACCTCTTAGTGTTTTATCCATATCTTTTGATTGGATAAATAAAATCACGTCATTCAAGTTTTGGTGGATAAAAAGACTTCATTATCTACAACTTTGGTGAAGGAAGCATGTCCAAATTTGTAGCGGAACATCCCCAAAATCCCAGCACAAAACCAGCACCGGAATTTGCACCAAACCCGCGTCGGTTTGATGATTTTCGCATGGCACAAACCAGTAGCTTAACCGGCGCCGGGTAGGCCTTATAACCGGCGCTAGTTATGTCAAAATTTCAGATTTTCCAACGCACTATGAAGAACCGGCGCCGGGTAGGTCCGATTCTGCACAAAACAGTGCAACGTGCAAGAGGATTTTTATGGGAAAACTTCATGTTCCTCAAGTGTGATCAAATATTGCTTCCATACCTTATTGTTGGGCTCGAATAGACTAAAAAGATGTCATTATTTAGCCTATATAAAGCCCTCAATTCATCATTCAAACACATTTCATTCCATAGATTAATTCCGAGTTTTTATAATTTGTTCTTGCTATTTAATACTTCATCAGCGTAAACAATTGTGTGATTCATGAAACTTTTTGTAGATATCAATTCTTATAGCTATATAATTTTTTGGTAAAATAATCACCAACCGTGCATCGTGCACGTGTTCTACTAGTTATATTTAGAAACTAGGTTTCACCCTAACATGTTAATTAGAACCTCGATGCTATATGTTAGTTTTTCTTCCCTATCTTGTTAATGTGATCAATGGTCTCCAACTATTATAATTTTAACTAGATTCTTTGCCCGTGCGTTGCATAGGATGCACATGTTATACGTTTAGATGACAGTGGGAATCTAACGAATAGTTTGACCAACTCGAATTTACATCTGTTATAAATTTGGGATAGACTTTTCAGAACACAAAGTTCGACAAAGTTGGGATCACTTCATACTAACAAAAATACTTGTCATTAGATGTATAAATATTTTAATTTGTTACCTATTTTTGTTTATAGAATATAATTACAACGGATTCAAGTAATTGAGTAACGCTGAAAAATTTGTAAACATCCAATAAGCAAAACATTAATTGATAGTATAGCTTTAAAAATCAAAATTTTTACATTATCAAACACTCAATATTAATATGTAAGGAGTATTAAATTTTCATAATATTAGTAGAAAAAGTGACTCTTTAAAGGTGTATGCTTATAATTGAAAGCATTATATTCCAATCAAAATATCCTAAACGTTCTAATATGTGTTAACTGAAATCCTGCCAATTATATATTACTATTATTATATTATTATTTTGAATTGAAATTTATTCCAATTACTCCATAATAGATAGTATATTACTATTTAGTACTACTATTATCATTGCTAATTATTGATGTACCTCTTATTGTTTAATGAGTATGAAATCATTAAATGTCTTATCGAAGGGAAACGCAAGCTACACCTTGTTATTTTATATTATTATTTTGAATTGAAAATATTCCAATTACTCCATAATATATTAATGTTTAGTATTTACTATGCCTATTATTATTACTAATTGCAAATTATTAATATGACTATTATTGTTGAATAGGTATACAGCATTAATTGTCTAATTGGAGGGAAAAACAAGGTGCTAGACTTTGTTACTTTATATTATTATAGATAGATTCCTAAAAGGTTTTCCTGTTGTGGTTTCTCAATCATGCTAACTAATTCCTTGCAGATAGGAGTGGACTCGGGCCGGTTCAGGCCCGGTTCGGGCCTGGGCCCGGCCGGGCCTCGGTTCATGAAAGGGGAGGCCCGGAACCAGCCCCGAGTCCGGGTCGGGCCGGACCGGGCCCCAATTCAATTTTTTTTGCTTTTCCTAATTAACCCCCAACCCTCCCCCCTCACCCCCAAACCACCTCAAATGGCCCAAAATACCCAGCCCAACCCAAAAACTTAAAAAAAATTCAAAATAAATAAATAAATAAATAAATTGGCACCCGGACCGGACTCGGACCGGCCGGGCCGGTTCACCTTTTGAGGGGCCCGAGCCCGGACCGGAACCCCAGCGGGTCGGGCCTACCCGGACCGGTCCCTGGCCGGGTAGGCGGTTCGCGTCGGTTCAAACAGTAACCGGGTCGGGCCGGTTCTGGGGCGGGCCGCCCGGCCCGAGTCCACCCCTACTTGCAGATATAGTGACCTCAAAAGCATAGAGCCACCAGCCCACCATGGAAATATCATATAGGGGCGTTTGAGTGTAGTTTTTATCACTGTTTTTGCTTCTTCAAGGAACAAAACATATATAAGAGTGTTTGGGTGAAACTATAGAAGCACTTTTAGGTGTTGCAAATTGCTCCTAAAAACAGCTTTTTAGAAGTTGGAGAAAAATGATTTCTGAAAAACTAATTCCGATTTTAAAAAAGAAATACAAGCAAAATCAATTTCTAACATTCACATAGTAAAGATGGTAATACTTATTGTAATCAACTTGGGAAATTTGAATAGTTGTATTGTCTTAATTTACAAACTTTGTCCAATTGTCCAGATATGTTCTGTCATCTTGGGAAAACCGAAAATTAGCATATTGAGCACTCGATTACTTTATGCCTTTATGGTGTAACTTCTTACTATAAACGTTAGATTTACCACTTTAACAGTGGTATCGAAATGAAGCATCAAATAACTGTATGAGTAGTAGACTAGTAGTACACCCTTTTTTGTCCTCTCAACCATATTAAAATATGACAAAAGCTCACAGACCGCCACAGCGTCACATTTATCATATCTTCCTTTTTTCCCTCTTTTTGTGTGTGTATATGGTGGGGGGGGGGGGGCTCCAATCCTTTTAGGCTTTAAGTGAAAGGATAGAAGTTTGAGAAGAGAAGAGTTCCAAGAAAGATGTATGCCCAACAATACACCCAAATGAAGTACCCGCCTCTCCGTATCTTCTTCCCAAAGCCATGCTTCATCAAGTATGAACCAAACCAGTAGAGTAGTGGGCTGGCCGATAAGAAGCGGGTTGCAACCTGTGTGTGTGTGAAACAAAAAATATCATCACCCAGCTAGCTAATCAAGAACTCAAGACAAAGCATGCATGCGAAAGAAAGTACATCCATGAGGGGAGGATTTATGGGAAAAGGTGCAAATAGGCCCATGTACTAACCAAAAAAGGTCAAATAAGCCCTTATTTAGGAGGTTCTGTCCGGTCATCGCCATTTGGGGTGGTTCCTGGTGGAATTTTTTGATGAAATTTTTTGAGCATCTTATTCATCAAATCTAGTTTACTCATACCAAATTTCAGCTACAACTTCAATCGGGAAGACACTCAAATGAATTCTTGAAAATAACTGCGCAGTTAGAAGCGCAGTTATCTTCAAGAATTCATTTGAATGCCTTCCCGATTGAAGTTTTAGCTGAAATTTGGTATGAGTAAACTAGACTTGATGAATAAGATGCTCAAAAAATTTCATCAAAAAATTCAACCGGGAACCACCCCAAATGGCGACGGCCGGACAGAGCCTCCTAAATAAGGGCTTATTTGACCTTTTTTGGTTAGTACATGGGTCTATTTGCACCTTTTCCCGAGGAATTATTTTAATTTTCGTTATTGTGAGGTTTTGTTTTACACAAATAAAGAGTGCACATAAACAGATCACCTGCACGTGCATGACGAGAAAAGCTGTGGCAGTCATGAACCCGAGATGGAGAACCAAAGGAACCTGCATTGGTATTACAGCTCCTGCCGCTGTCGGCGCCAAGTGATTATTTGGTTTTCCACTTTCTGTTGCAGAATTATTATGTCCTCTGACAGCAGAGTATTGTTTCCGTAGTTTGAGAGCGTGATCGCTACCTAACACACACATTAGTAAGTTTGCCCAAGATGGTCAAGAAATATATCGTGTTTAGGTTGCTGATCTCAAAATGTAGACCTCAGGTTTTTCAGTTAGCCACAATGGGCAGTAAGAAAGATAGTCTCAAAATGTAAAGCCTTAAAGAAAAGGGGAAATTCTTCAAATATAAGTAAAAACGTTTTGGAATTCTAAAATAGGACTGTCATGTTTTTATTCCCTAAATAGGAGTAATTACTGTCAAGTTTAAAAAATATTGTCATGTTTAAAGTATGGCACTGTCAAAACATGACAATAATTACTCCTATTTTGGGAATAAAAACATGACAGTCCTATTTTAAGACTCAAACGTTTTTACTCCTATTTAGGGCAATTTCCATAAGGAAATGGATACCTTGAATTTTGTGAAAGGCATCATTCTCCTCCACAAATAAATTAGCAACCTCCTCTTGCCCAGCTGCATTTGTCCCATAAGTAAAGGGTGAAATCTTCTGCTCATTATTATTACTCATAGGAGGAGAAGTTCTTCTGAAGCCCAACGAGAAAAACACCTCCGGCTGTAGCTTCACATAATGTATAATTGAGCAGAGTGCACATGATAAAATTGGGGAGGCAAGTAGAAAGTTAGGGATTTGCTTAGTTTGGAAATATTTCAAGAACCCCACTCCCCTGTAAACAAGAAAGAAAGTAGTCGTGGGTTATTGTCAAGCTTAGGAAGAAAAGCATGAAACACACATTTTGTGCACGCTCTTAGTCTTATGGATGTTTTTAATCGATGGATTGGTTTTAGTCACGGACCAGACCAAATCAAACTTAAACAGACCAAACCAGAACAGACTTAAAAAGACCAGACCAGACTTTGATAATTGTACACTACAATGGAACAAACATCTACAAGACTAGACCATATCATACTTAAACAGACCAGACAACAAACTCAATTCAATTAAAAATATCCTAAATACGTCCTTCCTCCTCGCATAACAAATACTATCTCCATCCCACTAACATTGGGACATGAGGAGGTGGTGCATTTATTATGAAAAGTGGATTTATGCGGTTAATATGGAGTTGATAAAGTAAGAATAAAGTAAGAATGATTTAGAACCACACAAATTTTACCAAAATTTGGTATGAGAAAATCTTAGTGGGACGGACCGAAAAGGAAATATGAGACAATCTTAGCGGAGCAGATGGAGTAAAATGTTTTCTTTTTTGTTTTAGGTCCCTCCAAATTTGGCTTGAGAATATGATGGAATAAAGCAAAATGGCTCACTAAACTGTCTGCGCTTCTTTGTTATGAAGCAACAGTCAGTCCATGCAATTTTGGACGCGATTTTCACTATGGGTCATCCGGAAACAGTCTCTCTGTGCTTTAGTACAGGGGTAAGACTGCGTACATCTGACCCCCCCCTTACCCCACCGTAACTGGGAGTCTTTGCGGCACTGGGGTAAATGAAAATGAAAATGATGATATTCACCATGAACCTCAAGTATTTTACTTCTTATTTTCTTTTCAGTCCCTTCCCGTGAACCTCAAGTAAAAACTGACATGAAAGATAGACTCCAATATGGCCCCTATCAACATCAACTATCAGTGACTCATCAATGACTATTTGGGAAGTTGTGGCTAAGCATAACTCACCATTCTCACTTCCAATTTAGGCCTCTGAAAAAATACTAAGCTGGTTTTATAAACAATGATGTGGCAAAGAAAGAATGGAGTTTTATGAGCTGCAAAAGTTTTCTATAAAGATGTTGAAGAAAACTTGCAGAGGACCAAAAGGAGATAAAGTAAATTACAGGGATGAATAAGAATAATTCGAACAGGGACCCAAACAAGCAGGTATTTGAAATATATGCAGGAAGATAAAGATATCTAAGCCTACGGTTTATGACCATAAATTTACATAGATATGCATTCTTGTAGAATAGCACTCTGCAAAAGCAATAACATGTTGTGAGAAATATTGGCAAGAAAAATGAAACAAAACTTACCAATAATGACCTTGGATATAACCATAGAATAAAGGTATCCTTTCCTTGCACCATGGCCTTGCAGACTGTCCCATGCACATATTGTAATATCCATAAGCTTGGAAAGCAATAAATGGGAATATCACACATAGGCTACGCAAAGCACCCACAAGAAGGTCCCAAGCAAACTGACATCGTTATACAAGATTCAGTTTGACTACAAAATTTAACTGCACGGTATTTCTATAGTTCAAATTATTCTGATTCATAATAAGTTATGACAAAAAGTAATATGTTAAGAAGGGTGTATGGACATATGGAAACACTTACAGGCGCTCGTTTATGGAGAACAGCAGAAGTGTAAACCGAGTGCATCGTCTGAAAACATATATAGCCTGCATGAAGTATTCCATTTGACCTTGAAAATCCAGAGAGAGCAAACCAAAGTGTTGCAATATTTCTTGCACCACTAGTGAAGTAATATAAACCTCCAATTGAAAAAAGCGCATAGAGGCTCTCAGTATATCTAGAAACAAATGGGAAGCATAAAGTATTCAGTTCTGAAAATTCTCCAGTGCTGCCTGGAAAAACATAGGATCCGTTAGGCACACGGAAAATGCCCAGGCAAGAAAAAAGGGAGGAAACTATAGTGAAATTTTGGATGGGAAAAAATGTGTTCAAACTCATCATGTTTATTTACTTAGTTATACTCCGTATATACTAATATGTAAGATCAAGTGATCATATAGATAACATTAATCACGTAATTCATATTTCCTTTTCCAAGTGAAACAAAACACAAGACAATAAAAATTTGATAGCATTCCTCCCTCCCCTGGAATTTTCCGGAATCTAAACATACCCTTACAGGATCCAACGGTTTAAGGTATAGACTTAATACATTGATGAGTAGAAAATGGAAGCAGGATTAAAGCAAAACAGTATTGAAGCTCTCAGTGCTAGCTCCGAGTCCTTCACAACAGCTATTGAAAGCCTGCAATCATATGGAAATAGAGAATAATCCATGTGAATAGTTGTGCAAGTTACTAACATTAGCTTTAAAAGTTATTTTCACACATTGGTCAAATCTATAGTTACCTGTAAAGAAACAGCGCAGCTAAGACAAATGCAATGTTATTGAGCACATAACCAGATAATCCAATAACAGCCCTATGTCCAATAACTGGTATAAGAGGGGAAAAAACTGAAGAAAAATACATATAAATATAATTAATAAAATCAGTGAAGCTGGAGAAGATCAATAGCAGGAAAATATCAGTTTTCATTTTTAATTTGAAAAATAATACTTGGATAATAATAAATGCAAAAATTACCTGTTCTGGAGAGCAGGGATAAGGAAACGGGAAGGAGAGGGAAGAATGCGTAGTAGTGTTCGTATTCATATCCACACTGCGCAATCCGAACAAAGTATACGCTGTCCCAGACAATGCTATCCTCAATTGCCGCCGCCAAACGAGGGAGGAGAACCGGCGGAGAGTGTGAATTCAATTCAGAAAGGAGGCAGCTAGGGTTTATGGAAGCTGAGGTGTCATAGGGGCTGAGAAGACATCGCCAGAGAAGTATTAAAAAAACTATTATTAGTCTTGAGGTGATTGCGTATTTCAGAACAAGACGCCTGTGGGAATTGGCTGAAGACGGGTTGATCTTCTTCTTCATATCCCTCTTCATATGTATTGTGTTCAGTACGCATCAACACATCTATTTATTTAGACCGAAACTCATAACTTTCAATTTAGTAATGTCATTGACTGAATCAATCATCATTGACCCTGGAGTATATATTCATTCATTCAAAAACAAAATACAAGTCAAACAAGCAAGTATTCATCCAGAGAAGAGCAATTGACCCTTGGTTAAGAGGATCACAAATCTTATTGATAAAAATATCAAGAATTGCAATATTATATTTCTTAAGGTAATGCAATTCTGGATATTATGTAAAACCAGATTGAGTTGCTTCTGTAAACGCAAGGAATTTAAAAGTGAAAAACCCTACTCAAAGATTAGTATTGGTGTTATTTAGGTGTAAACTTGTTGCCTAATTGTTTCAAATGTTTTCTTGCTAACTATGATTCTGTACAGGCTATTCTTGCAATGAGAGCTATTACCCTTGGTGTGACAAAGGCAACTAATTCCTGGTGAAGAGTGTTCAGGCTTACTAAAGCTATATACAGATGAAGATAAGGAGAATGAAATTGAATAGCATGTGAAAAATGTAATTCTGAACATGTGCTAATGCTTCTAATAATATATGTGTACAACCGTTGTTGATTGGATATGCATTTATAACTAACTTTTCTTTTCGTGTGATCCTAACAATGAAATGCACATTTGCAACTACTGTCATTTTTGCAACTACTCCCGACTCTTGAGGCATCGCCACTTAAATCCCATAATTTTTTTAAGAAATACTCCGTAATTACATATTTGTGACTAAAATGAAGGTTGTTTACAAAAATGTGATTAATGACTAGAGTAGTAATGAAATCTTGGTAACTTATGTTCAGTTTTTAAACTTGAGTTACTATAATACTACATTGTAGTAACTAATAGTCATATTTGTGTAAATAAGTTTTATTTCAGTAATATTTTTGTAAAAAACCCTTTTTTTTAATGAAAACATACCCCGTTATATACAATAGTATAATGTATTCTGTACAATTATATCTGATTTGTTCTTCACATATAACTTTTTTTTATGGTTATCACACATAATCTCCATTTGAATAACATCTTTTTATAGTTATCACACATTATCTATCTCTTATTCTATTCTAAAATGTGAAAGTTTTTTAACATCAAAATGTGATAAAACCAAGTGCAGCCATGTAAGAATTTTAGTCAGAGATACTTCATTGAGGAATTCTAACAAACATGTTCCAAACAAAGTAATGATTCAAATTCAATCTCAAGGTTTCAAAGTAAAGTTCAGGCAAGAAACAAATCAAGCAAGAAAAACAAAGAACTGAATTTGGAGATTTTATATTATACCAGATGGATGTGAAATAGTCAAACAACTATTATTTATGTGAAATGTTAAATTTAAAAACATAACGCTAACCTTAGTGGGTCAGTTGAAGTCCTGGGTCTGGTTGTTTTATCCTAGAATTGCTGTGAGCAGCTATATGAGAAAGGCAGCAAGTGACGTCCCTGTTTCTTTGAGCGGCTGCAATGATAATCAGCCGCCGTGAACAACCATGTAAAGTCCTGGTTCTTTGAACTATCGACGCCGTGGGATCAGGGGCGGCCCTAGGGGGGTGAAGCAGGGGCAGTGGGATCGAGGGGAGCTTCTCTTTGGAAAGGATCGTGCCTACCAAGGGAGGCTGCGCCCTGACTCCTGAGGCGTTGGGAATTCGAGAAGCTCTTAGATGGGCCAATGATCAGAATTGAGATACTACATTGAATCAGATTCTTTACATGTTATATTGACAAAAAAAATCGGAGCAGCAATTTTTCAATTTGGAGTGATTGTAGATGATGTTAGAAAATCAGCTGCTAGTTTTCTTAGCATCTCTTTCTCTTTCGTTAGCCAATCAAATAACCGTGTTAGCTTACACAGTAGCCAGAATAAGCGTCCTTTCTTTGTCTAATTGTTAAGTTTGGCCTGTAAACCTTTGGTATTTGGATCCGATTATTAAAACCGTTATACTCGTTCACGGAGCAGAAATAGAAGTTGGAGTGTGCGGTTGAAAGTACAGAAGTGATCCTGGTGAAATAATTTACTCCTAGAATTAGTTTTTTTAGGGGACTAGCTTCTGAAAACTAATTGTAATTCTCTTTAAAAAAAAATCAAAAGCAGAATTAGTTCCAAACACCGCTTATACTAAGGGGTGTATTGTATTAGTAATTAGTGCCAAAATTTAAAAGTCCATAGATTTTAAAATTTTAGGTGTATTCAATGTGGACTTTTAAAAGTCTACAAAAATTTAAGTGTATTCAATGTAGGCTTTTAAAAGTCTAAAAAAATCTAGGCGTATTCAAAGTTCCATTCATTTTTATTGACTTCTAAAATCATGGATTTTCGTGGACTTTTTAACTCATTTTTAATACATAAATTCTCTGCAATTGTCACTTCTCCTGACTAAAGATTTTTGTGAACTTTTCTTATATCGGTTCTTCATCTCGTCCCACCCCGTCCCTCCCCTCTCCTTCCCTGCCTCCCAACCCTCCTCTTCTTTAGCCAAGCCACCCCTTCTGTCACGCCCCGGACCTCCCCGGACACGTCGACAACCCGCCGTACAATACGAATAGTCAACCGCAGTCCAACACATTCATATTATACAAGGCGTCATGAATATCATTCACACACAAGTCATCCATAAACAAACATAATAAGTAATTCATAACGCAGCGGAAAACATTGTTTAAAACAAAAGGGCCACACAGGGCTATTCATGAGCACGCAGGCTCTATAATAAAATATCCATGAGCATGTTTATTAATGTTTAAAATCCGAATGGAGGAAGCACGAACCAAGTCTTCGCCCCTAGATGATCTCTCGAGCAACGAGCACAGGAAGCAAGCTCTAGCCTCAACCTGAAAAATGGTGGTGGGACGCCCCCGAAGGGGTCAGCACTCTATACGGCTATAAAGTGCTGGTGTGGCAGGCATCTAATAGATATACAACAAGTATTTCAAACACAAGACCCTCAAATAGGGTGATAATACAATATAGTGGTAACCCCAAGTTACCTCGTTTGAAAATATACTTACTTTATATAAAAGTCAAGTAGTCGGCCCGTGGGCCCATGTTCATTTAGAAATCGCCATTTCCATTCCCCGTGACTATGAGCCACGACAATTCATAGAGTTCATTACATTACCGTTGCATAGCAAGGGCTCGGCCCAACTACATTTCTATGCAATCCTTTATGTCAAGTTCATTATATTACATTTGCGTCCTATCACATTTGCATAGCAAGGTCTCGGACCAACTACATTTCTATGCAAATCACAATTTACATTCTATCACATTTGCATAGCAAGGTCTCAGACCAACTACATTTCTATGCAAATCACAATTTACATTCTATCACATTTGCATAGCAAGGTCTCAGACCAACTACATTTCTATGCAAATCACAATTTACATGGCAAGGTCTCGGACCAACTACATTTCCATGCAAATCACAATTACATCCTATCACATTTGCATAGCAAGGTCTCGGACCAACTACATTTCTATGCAAATCACAATTTACATGGCAAGGTCTCGGACCAACTACATTTCCATGCAAATCACAAAGTCCGGCTCTAATTCTTCATTATAGTCCAATTCCTAAGCAACCCTATGCCTAGAATTGACATCTCAATAATCTACCTTGGGTCATTCTCAATGACCGCCCATAACATGCCCTTAGTTTCATACTAAGTCATTTTATACACTTGAAGTACATTCAAGTTCATTCCATACAATCCAATACTTAGGATCAATTCTATCAACAATTTCAAATAATCACTAACTAGTATTTTCAATACTATTAAGATTATTGTCATTATACAAATATCTTCATTTTGTAATTCTCTACATATTTATAAGTATGTAGCATCAACTTAAATATTCCACTTCAATACATAATATCCATTTATGTATCCACATGTTTAATACATGAGTAAAATTCCTATTCCACAAAATAGTTCATTTATAACTCATTTAATCTCATATTATACATACATCCTCAAATCATTTCCAATTTCATTCTTTGGGAACCATATCAATATTTCATCAATATTTAATCATCATAATCCATGAAAAATTATGATTTAGGCATTTAGGTAATCTCATGCTTAACCTACAAGTTGTAAGCAATTAGATGTCGATCCTCACCTCAAATGAGCTTTAAACTATTCCTTCTTGATCCAATGACCAAAGCCTCGGCCAAGGAAGTTTGAGAACTGATTCCTTGCTTAAAAATGAGTGTTAAACAGCCTCCTCGAGGTGCTTGCTCAACTCCTAACCGAAGACACGAAAACAGTCCCTAGAACGGGTGTTTTCCGACAAATTCGTCCCCTAACCTTTCAAGGTTTTGTCTAGGTTAGTATCTAACATTTCCAACAATTAAAGTCACTATATAATAGCATCTTATACCATTCAACCAGTTTATAATAGCTCTTAAATCATTCATACGATTTAGACAATAGAGAGGAAGGTTTTGGATTCAAACTTACTTTGAATACAAAAACGTATTCTGCAAGGTTGCGTTTTGTTCGGACGATTTGGAGGCCTTAAACTGCTCCGTTTCCTTCAAACCGCATGTCTATGGATTCCTCTTCTTGAGAGCTTTCAGTGGACACCTCACACGCCCCTTTTGGATGAGTATTTCTCAAGATACGAACCAAACAGTGAGCTCCACGAACTGGAGATTAACCCTGCGGCCAGCTCCCTTATCTCTTTCTCTTTTGAGTGTGAGGCTCTCCCTTCTTTCTTATCCCTTTCAGTTCGAATGGGGGGTGAGGGGGAGGTGTTTAGGAGCTCTCAAAATGATATCTAAGCATGTGGTTCACAAAAAGAAAGGGTAGGGTGTTTGATTGCAATTAAACATGGTGTGGACCTCCTCTTTTATTTCTTTTTTGTAATGTTGTAGCTCTCAAGTCAAATGTCCGCCCCACATAGTTGTCTCACCCATTTTTCTTTGTCTTGCAGGTACCAAGGTCATGTGGGATGGTTCCCAAATGACCCCGTTCAATTTGGGGTCCAAAATACCTACCAATACTTCCAAAATGAAAAGATGGACCCTATTGTTTTATCCTTGTCATGAGATGTCTTTTTGTACTCCTTATAATTTATGTAGGCCAAGTCAACTTCATAAATCATATTATTGATTCCCAACATGTGTAGGATCATCCCAATAACTTACATGTTGAATATTATAGAAGGAAAATCATACTCCCATTATTTAGCTCAAAAATGTCGAAGATGGGACCATAGGCATTTGTATTCTTCTCTAATCATACTATCACTTATTTTGACATTGTCATTCATATATTGGACTACTAGCCGTGTGGGTCACTCCCGAGTGGGCCTACGATGCCATTCTTGAATACTTGCTATTTTTAGCAGGTTGGGCCCAAAATAATGTTTGGGCCGCCCGACCTTCCTCAAATTGTTTTGAAAGATTATGTAACATTATTTAGATAATGTTGGGCTCTTATGTTCATTAATAAGGCCCAAATAAGTATTTGCAAACCCGACACTAACATACGAGTTTGAACAATACAAAAATCAATCATGCGCTACGTAAAACATTAATTGTTTTACAATTGTTTGGAAATCGAAAATTCAATACATAGAAATTATTTTTTTTTTTTTATATTGAGTTTTTTTCAAGGACGTTCGGGTGCGGTGTCACACCTTCCCCTTCGATCTTTCTTCTTCTTCAGCCCAGCTCGCCCCACCCCTCTCCTTCCATTCTTCTTCTTCTTCTTCTTCTTCTTCTTCTTCTTCTTCTTCTTCTTCTTCTTCTTCTTCTTCTTCTTCTTCTTCTTCTTCTTCTTCTTCTTCTTCTTCTTCTTCTTCTTCTTCTTCTTCTTCTTCTTCTTCTTCTTCTTCTTCTTCTTCTTCTTCTTCTTCTTCTTCAGCTTACCCCACCCCCCTCGATTCCCCCTCGATTCATTAATCCCATATCGATTCGATAATCCCATATTGATTCGACTATAGAAGTTTCTGAAGAACCGATATAAGAATCAATATTATTACACCGATGCAATTCAGGTACGTCATCAGTTAACCATTAAGAAAATAAATATTTTAACTATTACTTTCTTTCACCATTAAATCGCTAACACATAAAAATATAATTCAAATTAATAAATATATAACCGTAAACAAGTATACAAAATTTTACAAAATAGAAATGAAAAGAAAACAATTATTAAGAAGAAAAGCTCGATTGCATCTATGTTTCTACCACATGTAGCAATGTGTGTAACGATTGTGTAACGGTTAACTTTGAGATTTTTTAATAAAAATAAATTTGGACTCATATGCTTCATTTATTCTTGTAGAGCCCTGTTTGCTCTATGAATTACATCTGTTTCATTCATTCATTCATTCATTCATTTACTTATTTGTTTGTTTGTTTCTTATCATACTTCGTATTATGTAGAGGAAATTACTCACGGAAGGACCAAAACATAGCACTTTTCTTAAAGTATGATCATATGTTTGATTTTCCTTAAATAGGACTAAACATTACATATTTACTGCTACTTTAATTAATTAATTAATATAATTAATTGTCCCTAATCCCTTGCATAATCAAAGCCATTTTGTTGGTGGTGGATCAGTCTGGTGACGACAGCGGAGAACTCCGATGACGGAAGCGGAGAGGCAAATCGATAGCAGCGATCTAGGTGAAAATTCTGACGACCAGTAGTGGTGATCCATATTTAAAAGTCTATGGACTTTGTGAAATTCAATAAATTTATCCATGGAATTAAATGTCCATAGAATTCATTCATACTTTGAGTACACTCAACTCTCATTTTTTACAAAAGAAAGAATTTGCACTGCCATGTTCCCTACGGACTAAAACGTCAAAATGGAAACCAATGAGGGCACTCAACTTTCATTTTTATTTTTTACAAATGTTAATATCGGCGGATTA